CCCCAGCAGTGGCTGATGATTCAGACCTGAGAACCCCAGGCAGGGCTCTGAAGGACCTGCCTGGAAGAAAGGACCCCACACAGGGATATCCCAGGAGCAGAGGAGAGAGAGAGCGCAGAGAAAAGAAACCCAGGCCTTGGGTCCACTCCTGCCCTGGCCAGCCACCTGGCAGCCAGGACCCTGAGTGGAGGGGAGGCTGTGTGTCAATCTCCTGGAGGGCCCGTGCACCAACCATCCCCTGAGTAAAATACTGGTTTAAGTCTGGCATTCAAGGTCCCTTCAACCCTCCTCCAATCTGTACCAGCTGCCTTGGGCTTTTGCCAGCGCTGGTCTCTGGTTAGAATGTCCTGGCCCCTTTTTTTTCTTATCCCATCTCAAACGTCTCCTCGTCCGGGAAACCTTCCCTGAAACTGAGTTGGAAGGCTCCTCTGCCCACCCACCGCACTCCACAAGACCCCTGTGGGTCCCTTAGGCCCAACACTGATCACCTGTCTTTGTCACCCTCTGTGCAGGACTGCAGCAACCCTACTAGATCAGGAGCTTCAGGGGCTGTCCAGCCTCTTCTGTGTTCTGACCCAGCACAGTCTGAGTTGGATCTAGGACCGGCTATTGTCTGCCTCCTTGTGCCCACACTGCCCTCTCGCTTCCAGTCATGGCGCCCCTGCTCACCCTGTTCCTGGTGGCCCTGGTGGGCCTACCTCTGGGTAAGATGGCCAGAGAACAGAGGACAGAGGGATGAACAGACCCATGTTTGGGGAAGATGGGCTTAAGTGGGGAAGGAGGCCAGAATTTCCAGTGACCAACTCTCCTTCCAGCTGTTATGTCCTGGGAAAGGTGATGAATCTGGGAATGTGCTGGGTTGCAGGAGGGGGCCTGTGTTCTGTCACCCCCATTCCCCTCCTGCCCATCTCCTCACCCCAGCCCAGACCCTGGACTGCCACGTGTGTGCCTACAATGGAGACAACTGCTTCAACCCCATACGCTGCCCGGACATGGTTGCCTACTGCATGACCACACGCACATGTGAGTCTATGGGGCCCCCGACAGCCCTGCCTGGGGGGGGCTTGACAGGGGAGGCCTGAGGAAGGAGACTCCCATCCATATCAGGATCCTGTCTGGGAGCGCCAAGCTGCGGGGCTTTGTCCTAACGGCCCTGCATGCTGGGGTTGGGCTAAGTGGGGCACCACCCATCTCAGGGTAGCTGGCTTGCCTCCCCATCCCTCTGCAGACTACACCCCAACCAGGATGAAAGTGAGCAAGTCGTGCGTGCCCAGCTGCTTCGAGACTGTGTATGATGGCTACTCCAAGCATGCGTCTACCACCTCCTGCTGCCAGTATGACCTCTGTAATGGTGCCGGCTTCGCCACCCCAGGGACCCTGGCCCTAGCTCCCATACTCCTGGTTACGCTCTGGGGTCTGCTCTAAAACCCCCAGGCAGACACATTCAACTACAAAGCTTTTTAGAGACACAGCTGCCCCCTCTCACCCTGCACCCCCTATCCAACTATCTGCCTTCCCAACACCCCCTCAACCATGCCCATGTCCTGGGACTGTCTGCAAGAGGACACCTGACCTCCCAACCACCCATGTGGCCTCACTTTGAGGCTTGACCTTTCATTTTCGAAAAGCTTATGTGTGGGACTGAACCACCCAAAGGTGTCTGGCCTTGGTGGGCAACTCAGCCCCTCCCCTGTCCTGGGCTCAGAGTGTCTGGCAAAATGCTATTTATGGGAAGAGGGACTCAGCCAGGGAACACTAATTAGATGGGAGTTGGCAAACCCCACCTTCTGGGTGGCCTGAGAGCAAGGCCCTGCCTCAGTTGCCCCTCTCTATCCTTAGGTGTCTTGGAGGGGAAGGGGAGATCAGAAGCGCCGTGGGTGCAGGGGAGGGGGGCAATCCCAGGAGGTGGGGCTCTCCCAGGCCTAGGGAGGGCCGTCTCTGTGCTTCCTATTGTGGCCAGAAGCTGCCCTGAGCAGGTGTGGGATGGAAGGCCCTGTGAGAAAGGCCTTTGTCACTGTCACCTGTCCTAGGAGCTGCGCCAGGTCCGGTGTCAAAAAAGTCTTTGGTAGACAGGGACTGGCCCTGCCTCAACAGGCCTCTGAGGCCCCTTCAGGGTCCGGCAAGGAGTCTATGTACTATTGATCATTCAAACCTCTTGACCTTTCCCACCCCACCCCCACCCAGGCCAGGCACTGGGCCTGGGGCTGGCAGAGATGTGGGAACACGCTATGTTTGGTGGGGCCTGAGCACTTACCAAGGTCAAAGCTATTTTGGGCAGAGAGGGAAGGGGGGAAGGCAGGTAAGCTGCCAAGGCCTGGTCCTGGCCTCAGCCCCAGCAGACCACAGCGGGGCGAGGCATACTGCGTGGGGAGCGAGGATGCACGCATGGGGTCCAGCAGCCTGGGGCGGGAACTGGAAAACCGGAGCGCGGCGCCCTCTAGTGGCCATGCCGGGCGTGGTGCGCGGAGGTGGCGCGGCGTGGGCCACCCCACCTCTTGGGCCTCGGTTCTGGCTTCTGCCCTGGCTGGACAAGCGCAGGGTGAGCCCGCCTGGGACCGCGCGGGGCGACCGACGGTCCTGCGGCCCCTTCGACTTGGGACTCGATTCGCAGGGAGGGCCAGAGCTGAAAAGCTCCCTCTAGGCATGGGGATTCCCAGGGACCGCCCGATCTGGGAAGGACCGATCTGGGAAGCACCTGCCATCCCGGCTGCTAGTCCCGGTCTACTCCTCTTCGCGTGAGACCAAACAGGGTGTGAGATGTCAGGGTGCCCGAACTCATGCAGCACCTGAGGCCTCCTCACCTGACAAGCACCCCCAGCTCCAGTGTCCACAAGGGAGCCCCGTCAATCTCGTTCAGCCCAGGTTGGCAGAAGTGACAAATTTCCATGTGGTGGGATTGTCTCTGGTTCCAAGCACAGCCCTCCTTGGGGGTGCCTGTGCTGGAAATTGCATGTTGAGAACTTCTGTCCAGAATTCTTGAGGGCTCTGGGATGAGTGTTTCCATCCCAGGGCTCCCGTCTCTTACAGGAAGTCCTCATCCTGGCCTGGATTCTGCTCCTGGGGTGTAGGGTGGTTTTCTGGCCTCAGTTTACTCATCTGGAGGACAGGATGCTGAGGAGGGGGGCAGATGGATTATTTTGCTGAGGACTCACCCAGTGCCTCACAGCAGTGTCTCCTGCAGAGAGGACTTGAGTGGAAGAAGGCCCAGGGATGGGGAGACATGTGACTTCCCAGAGGGAGGACTCCACCGCAGGCCAGGAGGTAGAAGGAGTTGCAATAATATAGGGTGGGCTTGGGCTCCTCTGCGCTCCTGTCCCTGGTAGCTGTGGTTCTAGTGCCGAACGAAGAGAACAGGCCCAGGCCTTGCCCCTGAGGCCCAGTCAGGTGTGAGCCCCTCCCCAAGGAGTCTGGGGGGATCCAGGTGCCTCCCCAAGGCTCCATGAGGACCCCCATCAGCAAGTGGTCAGGCTCAGGGTAATGGCCAGATAAGACCATCTCATCTCTTGCGTAGCCAGCTCTGGCCTACATTGCTGGCTGGGTGGGAGGTGGTTGCTGGCCTCCAACCCCACACAGCTCCTGACTCAATGGGAGAGACCTGGAAAGCAGTTATTACCCTGCTTGTGCAAGTCCACTGTCCTGAGTCAGGTTGCTCCTCAGAGTCAGGGCCCCAGGACTGGTCCTCCCTCCCTCCTGCCTCAGTGGGTGATAGGCAGAGGCCTGGCCAATCGTGGGCTCTGGGGTAGCTGAGAACAAGGCCTTTGGGAACTGAAAGTGCTGCTGGGTAGGGGGAGGGGCAGGAGAAAGGCTTCTCACACCTGCCTCTTGCCTCCTTATGTCCACCTCTGCCCCACCCTGACCCAGTCCAAGCCCAATGCTGATGACACTGCCCCCAGCACCAGGGCTATCCTGCCCACTCCACCACCACAGATGGGGTTCTGCCTGGTTGGCCTGCCCTTGGTACGCACAGAGCAACCACATAGAAGGCGCTGAATGAAATGCCACACCCACTAGTGGGAAGTGCTTGGCTCTGCAGAATCTGGGAACTGGGATGGCAGTGCCGGTAGAAATCACACCAGTAAACTTGTCCCTTTGTATGGATGCTGATGACTGACATTGGCCCACTCCCACTGTAGCATGGCTCTAAGGACTGTACAGCAGCCCTGAAAGGTAGGAACCACTGTGCCGTCCCTTTGATAGAGGAGGAAACTGAGGCAAAGAGAGGTGAAATAGTTGCCCCAGGCAGCCCGGCCTCCCCGCCCCACCCACCACTCTCCTGCCTCTCTGTGCTGCCTCTTCTCCCACCAGCTGGGGCTCCTCAGAGGCTCTGTTACCACAAGCCCAAGAGGGGGAGGGTGAGTCTATAAACATGTTAAGGGGTTGTATGAGCTTAGGATCTGGAAAGCTTAGAAGGGGAAAACCAGAGGTTTGAGAAGTGAGGGCCAAAGTTAGAGCATCCAACCCTGTGTCTGGGTGCAGAGGGTGAGGGGAAGAGGTAGAGAGGAGGGGGAAGAGGTGCCAGGCTGGCCCCTGTCCCACCTGTGTCAGGACCGGGAGCCCAGCTCTGGGGCAAAGCAGTGGAAGGCCCCACTTGGTGGCTCTCCCCCACCATATGGAGAGATGCCAGGGCTATTTGCTGAAGCTCTGTGTGGACCTGCACTCCAGAAGCAGCCCAAATGTCTCAGGAGCCGCTGCTGAACCTACTATGACACCCGGGATATTATACGTTCTCCATGGAACACAGTAAAGTGACTGAGAAGCTGGAGCTGCAGGCAGTGACCTGGAGACGTGGCTGGGTGGGCATCCACAGCACATGCTCCAGAGAAGTGGGTCTGGTCTGGTCCTGCAGGATATAAGAGCAGGGCTGTGGGTGGCAGGTCACACCCATTGCTGATACCCTGGGACCAGCTGCTTCTTCATCCCCCTTTATAGTGTCTGATTGGTTGCCATGAACACTGTTTTGTTCATAGTTCTAGAACTCTGAAGAGGGCAAAAAGAAATAGAGAGGTCCCCTCCTGTAGCATGCCGTGCTTTCCTGGATGTGCTATGTCTAGTCCCACAGCACTGGGTGACCTGGGCTCATCATTCACGTCTCCAAGGCTCCGTTGCCTCGTCAATTAAATGGGAATGATAGGTCCCACTCAGCTGGTTGTGGGTGTAAGTGCCCAGCCTAAAGCCTGGACACAGAAGGCCCCGATTGGATGGATGATTAGTGCCCCTTCCCCCCTATCTAACTTCCTGGGTCCAGGCTGCCATGCCATGTCCCACCACGAATGTGAATCCTAAGAGCCCTAACCTTCACCCTAACCAGGACATGGAATTCTATGTTCAGGCCATAGCTCCCTCCTTGCTCATTGCTGTTCCCTGCACCTAAGAGAGGTCCAGTGGGCGTCTCACACTGAGTGGATGAATAAATGGATGAATACACGTGTCTGCCCTTCTCTCCAGCCCCACCATCTCAGCCTGAGCTCAGGCCTCACTTTTCCAGCCTGGTTTGGCTGGTTCTCCTGGCTCTGTGAGTCCTAGACTCCTGTCCACTCTTCCCTTTCCAGGCCTCAGATTCCTCCTGTCTCCTCTAGGCCTGGTCTGACCTTGGAGCCAGCCCAGGCACAGGGTGGGGGACAAGCAGGATCCCTGGGGCTCGCTGGGACTCATTTTTGGTTCTACAGGAGAAAGGCAGACCCACTAGCTCCTCTGAGGGACCAACAAGACCTCGGGAAGGCTGGGGGTGCTGGGTGAGGGAGACAGGACCCTAGTACCCTGCCCAACTCCTTCTGCTCTCCTCTGACTTCCTGGCTCCTGATCCCAGCTTTCTGGCCATGAGAGAGGGGTCTAAATCTGTAAGTCTCTCTCTCAGGCTCTCCCTCCTTCTTGGCCCCACCTCCCTAGCCCTAAGGAGCCCACCAGACAGAGGGGTGGACAAAAGCCACCTGGACAGCAGGGCTCCCAGCTGGCAGGGTGACTCCCTGCAAACAGCTCCCTGCACAGGCACCTAGCCTCCCACCATCTGGCTTTTAGAATGATAGAGGGTTCCCACTGTCCTGTGTGTCCCTTCTCGGCTCTTACCCCATCTTCAGGGCTCTTTTTAATACCAGAGTCCTTTCTGCCCTGTCCTTTCCTGCCACACAGACCCTGGGTCCCTGCTAGCAATCATGACAATGGTCATGATTCTTTGTATGAACAACAGAGAGGCAGCTCACAGCCACCCTCTCTCAGTGCTCTCCCAACCCTGGGAGGGGTCAGGACAGGACTGGACTGCAGACTCATCTAACCGATGGGGAGGTTCTGGTCTCTTTGGAGGACATCTGGTCACCTAACTCACCCTAGCTTGAAAGTGCTGATGAAGCCCTCTGGCTTCCACCCAGTCCTGGGCTCCATTTGTGTTTTGAGGGGCAAGGGACAGGCTGAAGGCCTATGCCAGACTCTCATCCCTCACTGAGGGATACCGGCCTGTGTGCTGAATGTCTGCCCAAAGCCAAACTGTTCCACGGGATCCTCAGTCTTATACGCTGGGATTATCCCTACTTTATGGACAAAGAAGAAAGGCTCATGGGATTACGCAAGGCTCGCCTGAGGCACACAACCAGCAAGCTCTTTGAGACCAGGTTGGACCTCGCACTGCATGGGTCTCAGCCAGGCTGCCAGTGACTCAGACCTGCAGAGCCCGGGAGCGGGTGAGGGCCAGGGCGGAGTGCAGGCAGGTATAAAGCAGTGGCCAGGGTACCCAGGAGCCTGACCTCACCTGGAGAACATGCGGCTCCTTGCTGGACTCCTGCTGGCCGCCATCTTGAACCTGCAGCTGGGTAAGTCCAGTGGTGGGGGCCACCTCACATCCAGGGCCCCCCGTGTCCTCACTCGTTGCTCTGACCTGATCCTCGTTCCTCTAATCTTGGCGGCCACCAGTCCCAGGCTGTGACTGCCTGCTTTGGGGTAGTCCATTTCCTGCCCCTTTGCCACCCACCAGTCACAGCTCTCCTCCTAAACCCCCTCCTGGACCCCACAGGCCCACCCAGCTCAGCCCTCAGGCTGACCCCTTTACTTCTCAGGGCACTGCTGCTGGCAGGAAACACCTCACCTTGCTGCTCCTCAGGCCTCTCCAATTCCACAGTGACCCCCCCATTCCACA